TTGCACAACAATGAAGTTGGTCGTTAAATCACATCATAACACTAGTGCCATGCGGACGAAACCACCAGGGCATTGAACCTAGCTTGAGCTTCCAGAGATTAGGCATTGCGTTCGCCGACTGCGCCTGAGGTTCAAGAGGTTGAGAATTCAGAATCCCACCTTGTCAAAGACAATCCTTTCAACAGCAGCCGTAAACAAGGATAGAGCGGTGAGAGCAGCAATACCATCCCTCAGAAGTTCCCTTACCGCAATCTTCAAAATGCGGTGCTTCTCAAGTTTCCCTATCCACTTCAGAATACAAGACAGTATGCAGCTCTGTAGCGACCACTCAAACACCTGGAGAAGTGGGGGAGGTACTAAGCCATCCCAGGAGACGGACACTTAAGCACTATGAACCACAACATTTCCATGACATGGGTCATTAACCAGAGCTAGAGTTTTTAGGTTGCCATGTCCTGAGATTACAGAGCCCAGAGCTTCCATGCTTCTCTTCAGATGGTCTGAAGATGGTACAGAACAGGTCAGATGAAGATATCGCAGGTTGTTTAGCTTGCCAACGAACCTCATGCTACCGAAATAGAAGGCATACTCTCAATTCTCAAATGAATCCAAAAGGAGTAAGTGACCGAACACTCCGAACTTGTGCCTCACTGGCCACGAACAAGCATGGGGTTGGGAGTTGGCTGCACCTGCACCACAGTCTGCTCAGCTCCCTCGTTAAGCAGGCGCACCTGGGCGTCATGTCCGGGAGCTAGTGTTGCAGGAGTCTCAGCAGGCTCCATTCCCCCCGTCTGCATCTGATGATCAGCTTCTGACTCTGACATTGTTTTCACAAACAAGACTTTGGGTCGTCTCGGGTGCTTCTTTGCTGCTTCTTCCCACTCTTGTTTTGCTTCGTCGCTCACTCCATCGTCGAGAGCCACCTCCTTGAGACATCCAAGGAACTCCATTCTTATGCCACCAAGACCATCTAAATCCTTACAGAGAAGCTGGAGGGACTCGAAACACGGAAGCGCCCCCTCTTCGATTTCTAGGTCTTCCATGGATTGCACCACGATGCACAGGCGTAGCAGTATATTGAGCTGCCCCTTTCTTATGACAAACTTGTCCATGTGACTTGCTACCAGCTTCAGGTACTGCAAGGAGCGCACCATACTTAGGGCAGAAAGTATATCCCCAGTGAACTTACCGAGGGATGAAAGGCACAGCTCGGTGAGACCAGCCAACGTGGTAACAAATGGAGGTAAGCTCAAGATGTTGCCTTGTAGCTTCAGTTTACGGAGAAAGCAGGTTTTTTCCAAGGAAAAACTCAGCAAGTCTTCCGACCATTTGTTGAAATTCAGTGAGAGTGAACGATTGTCGTTCGCATGAGTGCCTCTCTGGACGAACCCTTTAATTGACTTGGAAAGATGAGCTATGTTGCTGACATCCATAGTGGATTCACAGCATATTTTCACCTTTGTCAAGTTATTCATATGATCCATGAGTTGTGCAAATCCTTTGTCAGCAACAAATCCTGATAGCGTCTGCAAGTTACTTTTTTCTGAAAGGAAGTTCTTCATCTTACTTATTCTCTGACTTGCATCTTCAAGTTTGCACCTTCCAAACAGATGAATCAAACACGGTAGCTCGATGACTTGTATAGGGAGAATCTCTATCTTCGTTCTTGTTATATCAAGTGTCTCCAAAAGTTTTAGCTTTGCAATCTCCTTGGGAAGCACTGAAATGGGGCCACCAAGGCTTAGATACCTGAGTAGCAGCAGGTTGCATATCTCTCTGAGATGCTTGTCACCCAATTCATCCTCACATTCTTCCAGATCCAAAACTCGCAGCAGTTCGTACTTGGAGAAATCAAAAACAGATTTGTGTGCCTTGCCAAAGATTGTTAGGGACCGGACAAAGGGTAAGTCCTCTCGACTCATCCTAGCCCGTCCGGCACTTTCAGGATGCAGAGAAAGCCAACGGGTCTTGCCGGTTTGGCGTGCCTGATCATGTGACAAGGTAATGAAATTCTCACATCTGGACTTGTGCAGGATGAACTCGAGCATCATGCCGTGAGTTTGGCAAGTCTTCACCTCTGTGTTGCTGCTCACATCAATAGGCCGAATGATACTGCGGTCGACCAGCTTCTTGAAATAGCACGTAGCGAGTTCAGCATCCCCTCCAAATAATCCTTCAGCTAGCCATCGCCTTATGAGCCTTTCTCTCCTCACCGGGCGATCACGTGGGAAGATACCCAGATATAGCAAGAATGTCTTGATAAAATGATCAGGAAGACTGGCGTAGCTGCGGCAAACCACACTCTTCATTCTCGCTAAGGTGTCCTCTGTTTCTAGATGTTCACCCAGGTTGTTGCACAGCCTTGTCCACTCTGTCCGTGTCGGATCACCTCGACTCTGCAAGAATTGGGCTGTGGTAACGAGAGCGAGTGGCAGACCATCGCATTTCTTCAGTGCTTCTGAACCGAGCTCATTACTAGGTGATGAATCCTCCAAGGAAGCTTCTTTGAGGAACAATTTTCTTGACAGATCCTCGCTAAGAGTTCTCATTGCGTACACATGACCATGAGCAGAGCTGTAGGCATTTGCTATGTACTGAATGGGTGTCGTCACCACAACTCTGCTGCTCACTCCCATCGCCGCAGGGAAAGAATTTTTCATGGTGTTCCAAAGTTCCGTTCTCATGCCATCAATAACAATGAAGAACCTGGTCAATAGGTAGATTGAAGACCGAAAATGCAAGTCAGTAGAGGACGTCCGTTGTTCACACAGAAACAAACAAAACCTGAATGAAGTTAAAGGAAAATTGAGGAGAGAAGGCTCACCTTTTTGACTCGAGGCATTTTCTGAGACTGTGCTGAGCTTCCTGGCATCCCCGGTTACCTGCAGGCCAAGCTGCTCGAGGATCCCCTTGAGAACATCCACCGCGCCTTTGCCCGCCGCACGAACCCATGCCTGTGCTTTGTACAGGCAGACCACGGTATCGCTCTCGTACACTTCCCTGGCAAGAAGAGTCTTCCCCGAACCTCCGAACCCGACAATGGAGATCACCTTGAGCTGTTTAGGCTGGCCCTCGGTGTCCCTTATTAGCTCCAGAAGCTCGTCGCGGGGCGCGTCCATGCCCACGAGGTCAGCTGCAAGTGCGTGAACCTCCTCCGAGAGGGCGCCCGATGCGGACGCCTCCGAGGCGCTGGGTTCGCCGCCGCCGTAGCTCTCCCTCAGCTTGGACACCTCTTCTGATATCTTCCTGATCTTCCGGATCTCGGCGGCGAACTCCGTGCGGATCGGCGCCGTCTTCAGCCTGCTGACGGTTTTGCGGAGCGGCGACGCGGCGGCGTCCTTGGCCACGCGGTGCGAGAAGCGGTCGATGCAGTCGTCGATGCTGTGGCCCAGCTCGCGCGCGAGCTGTATCCAGGCCGTCTGCACCTGGCTCTTCGAGCGGCGGTCGTCGTGGTCGTGGATGGCGGCGTCGATCATGTCCAGCTCCATCCGGATGCGCTGGATGTCATGCCGCAGGTTCCGCCGTAGCCTGTAATTTTCATCTAGAAA